TGGCTTGGAACCTCGCCAGGCTTGTCCCATTTGTGAGTTCTGAAACCCTAAAGTGACTGGCCCCAAAGCCTACACAGAAAAAACCATAAACACCCAACTCCCTGAATCTCCAAAGCCTTGAGGAGAAGCGTCGTGACAGCCGCATCGAGAGAAACCCCGAGATTCACCGGCTCCTCGCGAAGATCAAGCAGCAGGCTGCCTGGGTCTATGGGTTTGGGTTTAGCGGGCAGCGGTTAGGGTTCGGGGTTACAAGGCTTGCCTTCGTCATGGGACATATTTAGGACACTTGTGAAAGGTCAGGGTTTGCGGCTTGTTTCGGGGGTAGGGTTTCGGTTGGTTTGGTGAGTTTCGGGTTTGCGGGGATGGGTTTCTTGTTCTTGGATGGGCTTGGTTGATTGTTGTTTGTTCTGTTGGTTACATAGTTTTCTCGGAAGTTCGAAGCCGTGTATGGAGATGGGTTTTGAGCTTTATGGTTTGGGGCATAGGAGGTTTAGGACTTTAGTGCATTGCAGTCCCTGCTCAAAAACGGGTTCCAGGTTTTAGGCTTCAGCTAAGAGCGTGAGGGTCCCCTTAGTTTTGTTTCGGGGTTTCGGACTGAAGGGCTCATGGTCTAATTTCGTGTTGCTTGAGGTGTAGGCTCCGTGGCTTTTGCTTCGCAGCGTCTGGGTATAAAGTTTAGGAGGATGGGCCCGCCCACGGAAGAAGGCTTGGAGGGTTCGACCATCGACCAGTCGCGTCTTAGGCAACGCAGAGTTCCACTTTATTTTTTGTGTTTTTGTGTTGGAGAAGGGGGGGCAAGGGGGAGTGGTGTGTGCTTCAAGTTTGTTCCTGAGGGTCTTGATGTGGTGAGTCCTTAAGCACTAAGCCACTAAGCACCATTGTGCGATCCCTTCTGCAAGGATGCCACTTGTCCAGGGATTCCACCGTTTTGGGGTGGTTTGTATCAGGGCCTGGGCGACTCTAAATCGGGCCCATACAAAGCCCATTGGAGAGAGTCTAGCGCAGGACTCCCGGTCACATTCGCAGCTTGTTCCGCCAGACGGAGAGCAAGGCCCCTTTGGAACAGAATTAGACTCTAATTAAACTTAAAGAAGGTATATCGGACAAGTAGAAATATAGCAAAGCAAGTAAGAGGCGGGGGTGGAGCACAGATTCGTCAGCAGCTTGTAACTTCGAGAAAAGAAGGCGAAGCCCGGTCATCTTCAGTTTTCGGACTCTGGAAGCAATTGGACAAGGTTGGTTTCTTATGGGGGCTTTAATAATTACCTATGCTATTTGGGGGGTCTGTACTATAGTTGTAGTGTAGTATACCCCAAAACCCTATTTTAATTTTTAAGGCCCCTACATTAGCAGAGGGAGTTTCGGATGTTTTTCGCACGGAGTGTGGGGCTCGCTTTGATTTGGATTTCATGTATAAGCTCCTTTCCAGCTTCCCAGAGCAGGTATGGCAGTGAAGTGAAATATAGACTGATTGATCGTAGCCCTTCTAGAACCCTATGCCATGCTAACCGTTCAGGCCCCTGTATCTCATGCAGATTTGGTTCTTAGAGTCCTGGAATTTTAGCCTGTGCCTCGAGCATCGTGCAATGGAGCCATGCTCCGCGGCCATATCCAGGTAATGTGGCGAGCACACACAGACTGTGCATATGTGGTACGTATGTGATACTTACTTGCATGCGTACATACTGTACATGGTAACGGTAGTTGATCTAAAGCTCCTTGAGCCATAATTCTATGGTGTTTAGTTCCACCCTTGAATCCTTTTTTTTGGGGGGGGTATGGTTTTTCCGGCTCAGAG